AACAACCTTCCAGCCTGACCCCTGATGACATGGCACAACCCAACCCACGCTCAGGCTAAATCGCAGCCAGTAAGACCTATACTCTGCTTGTGAATTTACTGGGTGACAAAGCATGAGCAACTACAGTATAACAATGGATATCTAGAAGTAATTTTTCAAAAATGATACACAGAGATCTCTGGAAATTCAGGTACGTGCTATTAATGCAATCACCGGAACCAAAAGGGTATGGCAAAGAACCAGCATATGAATAGCATCATTTATCATTGCACAGTACAGGTCCAGGTGTATTAAATACAATTTTGGAGGGCGACCGCAGCGACGACCGATAACAAGATATTAAATCTCCTTTGTGATAAATCAATAGATTCTGAGGTCAGCGGGCTATCATTGCAGAGGGTACAATGGTTTTTTCCCCCATGTAGTTTAATGCTGTTTTCAGCAAAAATTAAAAGAGCCCCTCTGCACATGATATGTTTTGGACAAGTATGAGCACTTTGCACTCTCATCCATTTTTCTCCACCCATTTGGACACCACATGGTATCCACTATCTCACTGTTAAAATTTGACATCAGTGAGACGTGAACTAATTTATTTTCTCCTGATCTGAATGGACTGGCTCTGCTGTTGGACATTCATGGAGTATTTATAAAACATTTTTTTGCAAAAATACAAAGGAGGTCTTAGGTGTAATCTCCTGTCTGAATCTTTTTTCACAGGCTGTTTTCTAGCGATGTGTTGGTGTGGGCTGTCGTGTTCCTGCCACATCGCCGTATGAAACTGACCTCTGGCTAGACACACATGTGTCTTATGATATTTATATGGACGTGGCAGGTGTTGGCTTAAAGACTTTGTCAAGCTGTCAACTGAGTATGTGTGTGTCTCAAAGTAGAATAAGGTTGTAACACGACACCCATACACCCAGAGACATTTTTATTATATAGATGCACCTGTTCATCTGCCATTTAACACACATTTCTAATCAGCCAATCATGGCCGGAGGAATGAAAGTCTTTTTGCAACCATGGTTAATAGAAATTTGGTGGTCTTGAAATAGAATTAAGGTTTTCAGGCACTTCCACATTAGTTTTATTTTGAACTGTTTTGAACTGTCTATGGCAGCAGTTCCACCCATTTAGACATGTAGACATGGTCAAGATGACCTGCTGAAGTACAAACCGAGTATAAAAATGGGGAAGGAAGGTGATTTAAGTGACTTTGTTTGTGCTCAGAAACTGCTGATTTACTGGGATGTTCTTACAGAATCAACTCTTGGACAAAGTTCAGCATTTTTATTATAATCCTTGCACTGATTTTCCTAAATCTTGTCACTGGCATATGCTGTCAATAAGTTAATAATAATGAAAACTAAACATTTTGAAACTATAAAAAACTGAAACAAGAAAATCCAGTCACTACACAAGTGTAATAACTCTAATACTTCTGATGGAAGGGTCAGAATTCTGTGGAAACAGTAATGATCCATGGATCAATCCTGCCTTATATCAATCATTCAGGCTGCTGCTGGTGGTTTAATGGGATGTTTCCTTGGCATGCTTTGGCTTTAGGCCCCAACAACTGAGCATCCTTTCATTGCCACAGCCTACCTAAGCATTAGGCACATTAGTATTGTGCATCTAGCTTCTTATTACTACTTACAGCAGGGTAGTACACTATATTACAAACCCCAAAACAGTCACCAGATCTCGGGATGTGCTGGAACGGGAGGTTGGATGATACTATGTCAATGCGGACCAACATTTATGAGGAAAATTTATAACTTTTACACGAATTGCTTTGTTTTCAGCGTTACTATAGTGCAGCACAGTATGTGTTTGCTTGTCTCACCAGTGACTCAGAATCTCTGACTAAGAGTTATCACATATCCCCGAATAGAGTTCCAAGAAACACAGAAAACTTTAATTTCTCTTCCCCTCCTCCTCAACTGTCACTTTCTGTTTGCCCTTTCTCAGTCTTATCTTTTCCGTTTTCATTTTTCATTCCTCTCACTGTTCATATTTTTGCTCAGTAGATGTTTTTTTAACATGGTGAAAAATTAAACTACCTTGGTTTCCTTTGTAGTTCTTTTAGGTTTTTTTTTTAAAATCTATCTCAGTTCATTTCAGTCCACTTCCACAGCGTGCTGAAAACACAAACAACTGCCAAACCAAACCCAGAATCACTCCCACCTGCACACACACAAAACACACACGTGTATATATATATATATATGTGTGTGTGTGTGTGTGTGTGTGTGTGTGTATATGTTAAAAATTCAGGCATTGGAAAAACATAAGTCAATTTTCTCCTGCCCAGGAGAAGTAGATAAGCAATAATTTTTCATATTTACTCCCCCCAGAGACTAATTAGTTTCACAACAACGATAAGGTGCATACATTTTTATATCTAACAATTGTGTTTTACAATAATAATGTACAGTTAAAGGGTATATCTTTACGTTTAAATTACAACATATGTTACACTCTTTTTGCCATCTCTTAAAGAAACCCTTAACCATGTTTGATATTATATTACCCACTCTGTGACGATTTCTCGTTTAAGGAAAAGAATTTGTCTGTGATGTCAAGGTCAAGCCTAAGTCTCTTTCTCGTTACGTCTTCCCATAACAAGTCTGTGTGGGGAATGATATTTTAAAGGTTTGTTGCTGTAGTCAATAAAATGTCACAGCCACGGCCATTTGTGAGCAATGACTCCATCAGAAGCCATGAGAAACACACAGCTGACTTGCTGATTTTCACTTCATGTTCTTGATTCAGTCTCAGCATTCACATTTACCCTTGGAACTGTGGGATTTGAGTCTGCCTGTTGCCACAAAATGCTCTCTATTAAAAGTATCAGAATATGCGATATGGAGGAGGAAGCTTGTTGCTCATAAATGTAGCAGTAGTTTTCTTCCAGTAGTGAATATTTGCTTTTATGGAATAATTCAACTCTTCTGTGGTGGAAATGAATTTTATTCACACACATTCAACACTGAAGATCACAGCATGCACATACACTGATTTAGATGATCTATAAAAGAAGTTTCAAGATCATGTTTGAATTATCTTCTTTTTATGAAATGCATTTACACTTCTATATTTTTTCACCTACATGCAGATTATAATCTAGCAGATCTAACAACAGAAAGGTCACAATATCAGTTTTGTCCAGAATCAACTGGACTTGGTCTTCTTAACTTTACATCAATGCTCAGAGTAACAATTCAAAATGTATGAACACTGCAAATGTCTTGAATAACCCCTCATTTCTTTATGTTTTGCCTCCAGTGAGCCAGACTTTCTTTAATTTTTACGTGGTTTTGAGCAATAGTTCTCCAGGCTTTTTCTTTGGCCACTTTTTCACTCATTTTCATTCATTCCAGTCCTTTTACCTGAACATTTTCAGAAGATTTTAATGATTTATTTGTTTTTAAAACTGACCTTTGAAAGTAGCTAACTCAGACAACTTTGCAAAGAACTGATTTTAAATGGCATCTTTAGGCACTGTTAATGACTCGCTGTTCCAAAACTGCAAAGATAAAACGGTTTGACAGTGCAATAAAAAAAGAAAACAAAATATTAAAAAATGTTCACTGAGAATTTTCATTCCCAAAGATCTATTAGCCAAATATTTAGCACTCACACAATTTAGCACTGTTATGTGTCTGTCAAAAAAGTGTAGGATAAAAGATGGACTGTATCTCAAAGTCATGTATTTAAGAAACAGGAAAAAAAAATCTCAGTAAGAGTCTACTGTTCTCCAAAGTCTCATCAGAGGTGATTTAAGTAGAAGTGCTGCTCTCAAGAAGTCACACTTAAGGAACTGAAACACGGACCAAACGGGGAACAAACCAAATGACACAAGAAGTGGACTGAAAATCAGTGGAAGCAGGTCTTATGGAGTAATGAGTCCAAACTTGGAATATTTGATTTGAAATATTGGCAGTATATAAAAAAAAATGGAGGAGAAAGGTGCATTTCAGTGATGTTGGAATGTTTGCAAAAGTGATGCAATTTTGAACATTGTAAAGTACCATCAAATTTTTAACCACCACGGAGTGCCATTTAAAAAACAACAACATCTGAATGTCAATCTCTTCATTTTTAACATGACAATGATCTCAAGCAGACTACCGATGCATAAAAGCATACCTGGATAAAAAACACACAGTGAAACACTATCAGTCTTGGATTGCAATCCCCAGAACTCGGACCTCAACATTATTGAAGCAGCATGTGCCTGACAGACGACGAAGAAGCCTGGAGAGCTAAGACTTACTCCTGGAGACTTACTTACAAAGTTACAAGAAAGATGTAACGGTGGTCATACCAAATCTTGACTCTCAAGCTCATTTGAAATGTTAAGACTCTGTTTTCACCTCATATACTGTATTTTCATGCATGCTTGCATGTGTTTCAGAAAATCGCTGCAACTATTTCCTGTTTTCCAAGCAAAATATAAAGAAATAAGGGGTGGCTCAAGACGAGGGGTGTCCTGTAGGTTTTAGACATCAACCTAGGTCAACACACCTGAATCAAATGATTAGTTAATCCAGGCCTCCAGAACTTCAAGACATGTTGAAGAGGTAATTTAGCCAGTTAAATCAGCTGTGTTGCATCAAGGACGCATCTAAAACCTGCAGGACACCGGCCCTTGAGGCCTGGAGTTGGACACCTCTGCTCTAGACCTTTGTACATTATTCTTCATTGACAGTTTTCAGAACAAACAAATAAAGAGAAAAAGAAAAAAAAGTACAATTTGTACGTTTATTGGATCCTAATATACCTTACAAGCCTTTTAAGACTAACAGAAAATGAAAAACAGCGTGCCTATTTTTATTTGTACTGTAAACTATGTTTGACAAGTACAGAAGGGAAAATATCTGCTCAAACATTATTTTAATCCAGGAATAAATACAAAGAAGAACTCGCAGCTGTTCTTTAACGTGACTGACTTAAGCTATTAGCGAATTTTTGCCTTTATCCATCTTCACCTCCTATAGGCCTTCCAGTAGCCTTTTCACTGAACAAATCACACCAGACACACTACAGATGACCCCCAGACTCAGAATACCCACATCTATCAGTCGGTCCTTCACAGTAAGGCGGCTCCACTGCAGTCTAAGGTGAAATAAACACGGCAGTATGAGTGTCATTGCCGCCCCGGTCACGCTTCCTGTCAGACCCATCAACAGGGAGAACCTGGGCACCAGCAAAGCCAGCAAGTATGATGTCATCAACAAGGCGCCGCGGACCACAAGTGCAGGACGAGATACAGCTTGACCTCGGTGTTTGGAGTAAGACGACATGGCAGCATCTGAACGGATTAAACCAGAGAAGTTGAAAAGATATACAGTGGTAACTGGTAACTGGTTTATATTCACTATCAAAGAAGCTTTTGTTGTTTGGTCTTTCAATTTATGGATCACTGAACAAGTGGGTGTTACTCAACCACAGCCATTAGATTTGGTTGGATTACAGTTGGGGTTGCGAAACATCCTACTCTGACTCATTGTTTTCCACCTGCACCTGCGTGGTGACTTTAATTACTAAATAACTGGAAACTGTTAGCCATGCATCATTAAATCATCATTGAGTAGTGTGATGACTACATAACTGTTGACAGTCAACTATGAAAGGTTTAGCTATGGTGACCCATCACCAGTATGTTGAAAGTTGGCACGTGTTGTAGGTTACTTTTAGCCTAATTTGTAGGGTTTTCCTTATTAAATTTGACTTACTGTAATTTTTTTCTTACTTCAAATGGTTACACTAATATCATTAGTGAAACACTCTCTGTTAGTCATGTGTTCAATCGTGGCTGTATCGTATTGGAAGTATTTTTAGCTATTCACTGTCTGATCATATTTCTCACAGCATCAAAATGCACTAAGCCTTTAAATACATCTGCTGACACTGTTTAGTCACTGTAACTGCTTCTATTTCCTAAAAGGCTGTCACATTGATTTACCAAAACTGCCTTCTTGGGAATCATAGTTTTACTTGTTATAGACTCTTTTGACAGTAGGCATTTTGAAGTGCCATTACAGGTTAAACAAAGGTGTATTTACTAACAGCAGCACTGTGTAGTACTGTTTCATTGAGACAATCCAGTGTTCTGGTTTTGTGCATGCTAGCTCACTGGAATGGCTTTGACACTCCAAACAGAACAGGCTGTTATTAATTAAATCCACATTTAACCCGCTATTATCATACGAAAATGGCCTCTGTTAAATGGCCCCATGTGGGAAGCAAGGTGGACACCAACTACAGGTATGGGTGGCTAAAAAGCCATCTCAGCTGGGTGCTCATAAATTGTCTTAGGCAGACTTGGTTTAAAGGGTTTATAGAAACAGGTTGCTATTTTTGACATCTGGGCTAATGTAGTCTTTCGTTCAAGAGTAACCTCACAGCATGAGGTGAAATACGACTGATCTGTATTTACTGGCATTTGAAAGGGTAAGCGTTAAGTTTGAGCTTGTCTTTTATGGGCCAAAATATCTGGAAGAAATCACAGCTTGATAAAGCAACATGTGACCTGCATGCTCTGCAGACTTTACAGTAGATTTATGGTTCCTTGTTAGCTCCCAAGCATGCTTTTTTTAAATTAAAAAAGGCTAAACTAGGCTAAACCTAAGGACCAACACCCCCACATATATTTGACACTACCTCCTGGTGACAAACAGACATCCACAACATGTAAACGTGGGTCTGCAAAGCCCAGTGTGCCACCTGCAGACTACCAGAGCACTACTGCTTTTAATCGCAGTAGCTTATGAACATTTGAACATCTTTTTAATTTCAGTGACCCACTGTTAGTTTTAGTATGTACTGAGACAGCACTAGGGGTTATGTTTGGGTTTTCTTTTGGTTTTACCTCTGAGCACACATGTTTGCAGTATTTCAGCAGCAGCATAGAATGGCAGAGGGTAGGACAGTTGGGCTTTAGCCAGCAGGCACAAATTGACTAGAGGTCGTAGGTCAGAGGGTAGATTGTCTGTGATGACCTCACTGGTTTCTGGTCCCCAGGTTAACACCGCCTAATGGAGGAAGAAAACAATCAGCCAGTCTGTTTGTCAACTTATCAGTTATATCAAACCTTAATTGCGAGATACAATTTCTGCTCTGTTTAAACGTGCATGTGTATTAACAGCAAAATAATAAGAATGAAAAGCTTTAAGCAAGGGAAGTGCTACTGCAAACTCACATGCTAATGTTAGAAACTTAAAAACCCGCTTTTGACCATCATTTAACTGAAGCTTGTTAGCCTGTGCAATCATATGTTTTCCAAGTTGTCACTAACCATTAGGGAAAACATAGTTTTCATGATGCAAGCTGCTCCATGGGTCCACCCCAGCATGACATTAAACTGTCCCCTGTCTTCCATACTACCCTCTAGAGGAGGGAGGAAGATCTGCGAGGTATAGGAGAAGATGATGACACCGACGGAAACGAGGAAGTCCTCTGGATCCACAGAGAGAGACAGAGAGGACCAAGACCAGCTGCTGGCGCAACTCAAACAGTACAGCATGACCAATAGGCTGTGAGTGAGACAAAATAAAAGCTAATGAGAACTGATTAATTAAAAATTTATCAGCACAGTGATAAACACACACAACAAAGTGGGGCGTAAAAATCCTAATTACGCCGAGAGGAAGAACAAAGTGATGAACTGCAGAAAAAAAACAAAACACAACAAATAAAGGCAGAAATTATTAACGGGGTAATAAATTAAACTCTCTGAAGAAGACAGTTTAATCAAAGTCTATCAGCAACATCTTAAACTATTTTAGCCCACTACACAAATGAAAAAAACGCTAATAATTGTACCGGATGACACTTTAGAAATGCATTAATTTTAAGAAAGTACATGTAATAGTATGAGAATAGTTTAATTTACAGATTTACCATAAATCACTAAACTGAATTCAACACACTGTACTGTAGCTTGATACAAATGAGTCATACTAACTGATGTCATCATATCTTATTCATACAGTCTACCTAATAAAAAAAATGGATATATTGATGTTGATATTCAACCAGTTACACCAAAGCACTTTATGATTACATGGTTTTAATTACACGATGAATTAATCTAACCAGCACTGCCAAAGAGTGGAGTGAAAACCCAGGCTTTACAATTTCTGTTTTTCATGAACTGAAAGTCAAAGTGTGTGCTTTAAAAGATCAGACAGCTGTAAGAACCCTGGCAGCTCATAGACGCAACTCCGTGCTTCTTTTCTCATGCAAGACACCTGGTGTTAGAAATAAATCAAACAAGCAGGAACAGCGGCGTGTAGCAGGTGAGAGCAGACGACTTAAACAGCAGCAGCTGCACCGCGATCACACGAGCGAGAATGAGAGAGCAATTTAGACAGCGCGCCTTCCTCTCTTGATTTAAAATGATTGGTGAGTTTTTAAGGCGATCAGGTCAGCCAGTACAAATTTGCTGGAGTGTTGGGACAAATGAGTTGCTTCTTTTATTCTGTCACCTGATAAGTATGTGAGCCAGGGAACAGAGGAGGCTGAGAGTGGAAACTGGTCTGAGATCAGTCAGAAGCAGACAGGGCAGAAGAAACACCAGAGACACGAGTGAACACACTGATCGAGGAACAGCCACCCAGGACAAACTGTCAAACAACAGGCTTGTAGAGACGAGTAGATAGAGGGTACAGGTCATCAAAAGTTCAATGACCTGAAAGACAGCACAGACGTATATTTTTACTTCATATATTTACTGTATATTGTAGGAAAGTAAATAAATGGCCTTTTTCTGGATATACATATAATATTAGTGCATCTTAAATATTGTTAGATTTTGAGTTATCTAAAAGTGAAGTAGTTTCAGGTTTTTTTCAGTGTAGAATGATGTAATTTCACTATCTTCTAGTGCAACTCAGTTTGAATAAAGATTCTTTTTGAATTCTCTCAAAAGTGACAATATTTTAAGACTCTGCCACAAACTTAGAAGATTGTTTGATTGTTTCATCTGCTTTAAAGAAAAGTTTCGAGTTCATACGTTATATTGCAGAGCAAAAAGAAAAAAAAGGAAAATAAAGGACTGTGTTACAGTTGAAGGCGTGTTACCTGAGCTACATTTACCATCAGACCTCCAACTCCAGACCAATTCGGCCACAGTCCTTTGCAGCAGGCCTCCATAATGTCCTGATAGCTGGTTCGGACCCGGACCTTTGAAACTGACCCAGACCCACCACTGAAATATACCAAAAATATACCAAAAACAACTATTTAACAGAACTAGTAATAGCCTCATTACTTTGTTAAAATGCTTGTGTATTTGGTAAATGTAACAGTTCCCTTAAGTATCTCAATAAAACGAGACACTTAAGGTTACTTTTAGTAACGGGCTCACAACAGGCACTGTCATATTGATATTGATAACAATGTGAAAGAAACTCTACCTCATTTCTTCTTCATATAAACAGGACACCAGGGTTCTTCCTGTGTGGTTACAGACCCACGCTGAAAGAACCAACAGGACCAGACCCACATAACCTGACTGCACCAGGGCGAAGGGCAAACCCAGCACAAAGATACCCTTTGAGAAAAGAAAAAGTGCATTTAAAAAAATGTAGGTTTACAAGTAGGCTAAGAAAAGCTCGAAATGACAGACGAATCAAAAACAGCTTAGATGTTCATGTAAGATCATGTAAGGGTGAAATTTCTGGCTTAATCTGCATGTCGTTACTTCATCTTTGAAGGGAGAAATTTACTCAAAATAAAACAGACTTTGATGGTGGGTTTTGTTTCTGTTTTTCAGTGTATAAATTGTGCATAGTCACACATCACAGATGCACATTTTCAGTGAAAGTTCAGGCCAAAATCAAATTTGCACATTTTAAAGATCATCTTAAATGAAACCGCTCACATCAGGTTGTTTTTTTTTAATACATGTGAATTCTACCAAGCTAGATAATTCAGAAATAAACAACCTAGATCGATAAAGTACACTACAACCCAGAGGGTAATTTCTTCTTTGTGTGCACACAAAGCTAAATTATAGACAGAAAGAAGGTGGGGGAATATCATTATCTTAGAAAATAATCCACCTTGAGATGACTGTTCTCATGAGATGGTACCATAAAAATAAAATTCCATTAAAAAATGTAATTGAAAGGTTTGATATTATTATAAAGAATATATCAGCATTACTGAAATTCATGCAATAATCATCATCATGAGACCCCAAAGACAAGAAATCTTAGTCAAAGTTAGATTAGGATCGTAACTGTGCATACATACGTTAAAATATTTTTTTTAAATGTGAAAATTCACAACTTAAAGTGGAAACTGAAGAGCGAAGGATGGCTGAGGAGAAGAGCGAGAGCAAAGAGATGAAAGGACTCTTCATGGTTGGATGATGAGGAGGCGAGAGAAGAGTTTTGGCTGGATGCCTGGAGAGTCTGAGGATGCAGGAGACCAGCAGGAGCAGAAGGAAGAGTAGAGTCGAGCTTTGGCCCATCACCAAGGGAAAATGTAAGTCACTGCCAGAGAGGGAAGATGGAGAAGAGGGAATGGAGGTGAAAGTGGGAGGTGAGGAAAAGAAAAGAAAAAACAGGGAGACTAGGGAGGAGGAGAAGGACACAGACAGGAGAGAAGGTTGGAAGGAGAGGTGCAGCCTCAGCGCCAGAGAGCATGAGGTTGGATGATGGGAGATCAGAGGAGACAACAAGCTACTTTGATGGAGTTGCTGTGTTTTGAATGTTGGAACACGGAGATATGCAGACTCACTGAAAGAGTTGTGGAAGCACATCACAGAGCAGACATAAGCACACACTGTGGATGCATAAACAGACAGAGACACATTCTCTCTCTTTCAAGTTGCTATTTTGTAACTGGTGACTGTTAGGCATATGCTGATAGAGCTTTGATGTTCAAATGGAGCTGCTGGGGATGAAAGCAGTTTGAGAGGAATCTGACGCTCAAGTATTTGATTTCATCTCCCCGCCGCTCTCACTGCACTTCTGTTTCTCTGTGTTTTTGCCAGCTAATTCCTAATTGGTTACTCTGAGTACAACCAAAAGCAGCTTCCAATCACAAAGGGGTACAATAAAGGAAGAAACAAATCCCTGATTGGCTCGAGAGAAGCTGTAGAAGAAGTTTTACCCCTACCCCCTTTTATTCTGCCACAATATGACAACTCTAGTATCTTCTATTTACCCAATACTACCTTTATACTCTTTCATATCTTACACAGGAAGCATTGGCAAAACAGTGAGAGTTCTTTGGCATTACATGCTAATAGAATAAAGTTTATTGCACATTCACTGCACCATGCCTGGACTTCTGAGTTAGATTTCAGCTCCTGCCCCTCAGGTCATGGCCAGTATTTTATGCATGGACATGCCTAGTTGGCAAAAAGTGACAGAGAAATGTCTTATTTTCTGCCATAGGGGGATTAGATGATGCTGAAACAGGCAGGTTTGACATTTAAATAACTGAAAGTGACTTTTTTTTAAAACCAGGAACAAAGAACTGTTCTCAAGTTCAATCAAACCTGCATTAGAAAAATCAATAAAACAACAAATGGATGTGCCTAATTCATGCATTTGCTGTTTTTCTCTTTTCACTTTATTAGGAACAGGGAGATGCTCATTGAATCTAATGACACGGCATATGCAACTCGATGGATTTAGGCATGAAGAAGTTGTCAAGATTATCTGTGGACGTTTAAATCAAGCCTTTAAATAAGCAAGAAAGGTGATTTGAAGTGATATGTAATGTCAGATGGTTGTTGGTGTCTGAGTATGACCCGTCTGGTTTGAGCTGACAAGAAAGCAACAGCAATTTGTTATTCATTTGTTGCAACCAACGTATGCAGAAGAGTGTCTCTGAATCCACAATACATCGAACCTTCAAGCGGGCATGCTACGGCAGCGGAAGACCACACCATGTGCAAATCCTGTTGGTTGAGAAGATTAAACTGAGGCTAAAATTCACATGGGGCTACAAAATTGGTCATTGGTCTAATGAGTCTGTTGTGTCGTTGGTATATATAGAATTGAATACATTGAATATAATTAGAATTTGGTACAAATAACATGGGTGGTTGTATTTTAATGGTGTAGGTAGTACTTTCTTGGCACTCTTAGGCCCTTTAGTAGTTTAAATACTATAGACTACCTGAGTGTTGTTGCTGACCATGTCCATCTCACTATGCAAAGCATGATGGCTGCTTACAGCAGGATAACGCATCATGTTACAAAGCTCAAATCATCTCAAAGTGATGTTTCAGGTTTTTTCTCAGCATGACAATAAGCTCACTGTACTAAAATAGCCCCCACAGTCACCATATCTTAATCCAACAGAGCACCTCAGGGATGTGGTGGAGTGCGAGATTGACATGGATGTGCAGCTGACAAATATGCCGCAACTGCGTGATGCTATCATGTCAGTATTGACTAATGAACTAAAATGCCCGAGGAGCATTTCCAGCAGCTGAAGACAAAAGGGGGTCAAATCTAGTACTAGAAAGGTGTACCTAATAAAGTGACTGGTGAATATATGTATTATTATATTATCATATATTTCTTTAGCAAAGACTAACGAGTTGGTAAGTTCACTTGTTTAAGATGGCTTGATGTTCATATTTTTCAGTTATGGTTCTTTTTAGAGTAAATCACGATATATCTAGACTGAAAAACATATTTGATTTATAGAGTATCTATATTGTAACTGAAAAGTCACATGAGCGTGTAGTGTTGCTCAGTGAGTTCATTGTCATGTTGTAGACAGAAGTTTATAGAGTGTCTGCATACGATTAGCCTATTCATCGGTAAACAATCAGCTATAGTCGTTATTTTTGATTGATCATTTCACTGATCGTTTAAAACTTGAAATGTAAAAATCTGATGCAATTAGTTCATTAAGAGCATTTTTTTAAACGGGGCGAATGAAAAACAGACATTCAGTTTGTAGCATCCCAATAAGTTTTTAGTCTAAGCAAAGCAAAAGAATAAAGGAACAGATCCTCCTTTTCTCAACCATCTTTCCAAAACAGAACGAGTACATTTATTCCCCTCTGGCTTCTGTTTAGATCAGAAAATCACGACGACTTAAATTTTTTCAGTGTGGCTTAAAGTAAAATATCACTTGTAAACAGAAAGCGTGTCAGTCGCAGCCATTCTTATTCTCAATAACATAAGGCCCATATCTCTAATTTGAAACAAAGACACACAAACTGGAGCTGCCTCATTAACAATCAGATTGGAAATCAAACTGAGTTTCATTATTCCCATGTCAGGAGCCTTGAGAGCTGGAGCTGGTTTTTGCATTTTGGCAGCAAATTTACTTTCTAATAAAAACTTTATTAAGCTGGCAGACAGTCAATTATATTGGCATCAATAAACCACCACAGGAAAGTACATATTTTCTTTTTAGCCTTGATAGGAGATAAAAGTGCTGTTCTTTTCCCATTATTTAGACATTTGTTAGCCAAACATCAGATCTGTGATTAATGCCATAATATTTCTTTACACACCACAGATATCCTTTGTCTTTGATCGCTGCCATGAGATTGTTCGTCGCTGTTCGATATTTTAGTATCCAGTGAATATTAAACCATAACCTGACCGTCTGTAACCTCAAGTGAAAGCATTACTGAGCAGTTCATTTAGTCAAGGTCGCTGATTGAGACAGAGGGCTGCAGCTAATGAACAACCTATAAAACATTAACCAATCCAACAACCCTGGAAAGTGTTTGTGCTGAGGTAAAAACACGCTACATAAAAAGTATTCAGATCACACTGGGGTTTGGAGCTAAAATAAATAGCTGGGAGCATTTAAAAAGCCATAGCTTTAAATAAGCAATTTTAATCAGTAATACAGTATATATCACAAGCTGAATTTTCACTGGAGACCAGGATTCTGTGGCTTGCTTGGCACAGAAACCGAGTCTCTAAGGAAAACTGGAATTAAAAAAAATCTGGCACTCAGATATAGACTGCCGTAAACAAACCAAGCACATAAAATACTTCTCTACTAAAAATCATGTGCTAGAATATGTGTTATGTGCTTATACAACGGGGTTAACAGTAAGGGTTTCGAGCAATCGAACACAAAAGCATCTGATGCAAATTTACATGTTTGCATCTTAATTAGTCAGCATTTACCTGCATATGACTGTGTATGGATGCATACACAGTATTCCTACCCTAATGTCATAAAGCATTCTCTATGGCTCCGGTGACACTGTTCAATTACACCAGAGTTATTCAGTTAAAACACACGTGCACACACACACACGCATTTACGTGAATGCAGTGGTTGAATAGAGCCCAGCATTTAGAGCAAGAGAAGCTATTAGCATTACTGCCACGAGGACACGCTGTGACCGGTGAACTGCCATTTTTAAAAAAACAATTTTATCCACACTTAATTTAATTATCAAGGCTCGCGAGTGCCTGACAAACAGCCTGCAAGACAAAAGAAAGCATTGTTCAGTAATATAAAAACACAAAAGGAGTAAATGAAATAGGCTGCTTCATGCTTTTTGAATGACGTGTGCAGCTTAACACCTTCACAGTTGGCATTTCGAGTTGTCATTTTTCAGAGGAAAAATAGATGTGGTGCATTTTCAGCTGCACTTAACAAAAGATGTGTTATCAGAAGACAAACATGAGGGCTTTCTTTAAAGTCCTGCTAGAATGCTGCCGCTTTAAACGCTGAAACACTGACTCAAAAATCTGAATTGAGTAAAAGCACTCAATAACTGGATTAAATAACTTTGACTAATGTCTTTTCATAACTGGATAAGTCATACTAGCAACATGCTGAGTTATTGCATTCATTTGGCAGGGAACAAATCAAGGATTGTGTGTCTGTAGCTGTAGGAAAGGTTGATTGGCATGATACAGGTGCGTGAAAGTTATAAAAGTGGAAGTCTGAAAAATGTGCTGCATTGTAACGACCTAAATTATCTGTATTGCTGCTTTACTGCTTTTTTTAAAATCACTTACATGAGGTATGGCATCATGAACTTCTAAAGCAGGACATAAGAACTGTTATATTTTCTTTTAGGGAAAGCATTTTAACCATGCATGTGTGTATTAGTGTACCTGTATAGCATTGGTGATGTTCCAGCCAGCCTCCCAGGCTGTGATGGTGGGAGAGGGGTTCAGACCCAGGGTGCAGGTTTCAGGGCTCTGAACTGAAGTAACCAAACTCATGCTTCCACTCTGTTTTTCAAGGCGTGTACAGAGCTGAGACGTCCCTTCTACGGGTTTCTCCCCCTCTTGATTCTTCTCTACATCTCCTGAAACTCTCCATTTTACCACTTTCCCTCTAGGAAGCCCAGATGGTCTGATGGACTTCTTCTTGTTCCCCCGGTTCTGGCTGGAACCTTGATTCTCCCAACTCTCGCTTCCCATCTTTTCACCTTGCATCTCAGATAATCTTTTTTCTTTTTCATAACTTCTGGTATTTTCCAACCAAAAGGGCTCTTCAGTAGAGACAGCGGAAGTTATGGTGAAGGTCTTGGTTCCAGTGGAGATTACAGTAGCCCTGGTTTCTTTAAAGGCTGGGCTTTCCCATCCTAAGGGGCTGGTGGCTCCGTTATGAGCTGCTATAGAGGGCTCATCTTTGCGTCTGTCTTCTCTTGATGACGGTCTGCTGTTTATTCTGTCATCAAAATGTGGATTAATATTGCTTGTGATGTTGTTAAAGGCTGATCTGTTGTCCTCACAGTAACTTCGGTTTAACTCATCACTCTGGGTCAAAACCAGCATCTCTTCATCTCCTTGAAAGAACCTGTAAATCAAAACCTCCTTTGAGAGCTCATGATTCCTCCCCCATCTTTCATTTTACAAAGAACTTCTAAATAATTTTTTACTCCTCCAGAGGTTCCACACATATTCAGACAGATAACAAAATAGGAAAAATATCAAGAAGTATGAAAATAAATCTCAAACCGTCAATAAAGTTATATCAGTTGTGAGAAAATGAATCTATAAAAGTTCACGAAAGTTATGTTATTATATGTATAACATTACTGTAAAAATATAGTTCATTTTTAAAGTGAATTTATAAATAAATTTATCCCATGATGTCACTAACCTTGTTGTTCGGTCCAGGTGCAGCCTCGACATAGCCCATCCCCACAGAGACCCAGCAGCACTCCAGGGCTGCTCAGGCCCACGAGCCCAGTGAAGAGAGCCCATCTTCAGCCTTCGTGTCTGCAGAGTAAGCCTCTCTGTCTTTGGAGGTCTTAGCCTCCGGGGGAGCTTAACTCACACTGGACACATAAACAAGCCCAAACAAAAATTCTCACCCAAACACACACAAATACAGGAGTAACATATTCACTCAAATTAGCACATCTGTGTAAGTACTCAGAGTCACAGGTGTGTGAATTGACTGACAGGTTGATGAGCTGTAACATTATAATATGCCAGTGCTTTCAGCGGGGAAGAAGTAAACAGCTCTAATGGCCCTGAGTACACTCAGGGAGTGGAGGCCATTGTAAACAAGTAAACAAGAAACACCCTGAATTCCCGTAGACAACCCTACACCACTACATTTACATTTGTCTTACTGCTGCCAAACAGCAGTAAGACAAAGTAATTTATTCTATCCTAATTTATCATTTATGTTTATAACATTGTATTTGAAAATTGCTTTAATTCCAGCCTTAGTCTAATCCTTCTTTTTACCCAACATATGGAGGTACCAACACCTCTAGTTACCAAATATCGTGCATCTTTAACTTTAATGTGCAGGCCATATGTATGTATCAGCGTCTCTGATTGTTTCAACAGATGGAGCTTCGTGTTGTTTCACATCTCACTTCATTCTTTAAACTACAAGCAGTTTTTTTTAACTTAAAACTTTTTTTTGTCCACAAATAAATAAAATTGTAAAATAAACTGATAACAGTACATGTCTTCCCCTTATTTAAAGTCTCTCCAGTTTATCTGTGATTTAATGTTGTTTTGCCCCAGAGTGTGGTAAGTTTTATGGGGCAGCAGGAGGAGCCATAGAACAGTAGAGCACATCTGGACACGTGTGGACCAGAACTTCTGGCTTTTCTGGTACTGTCTGTGAACCACTACTTTTCAAACTTTTCCCTCTGCTTCTCCTCTTCTCAGAACTGATGTAACACTTCACTGGCTTTGTAGCATCTGTCTGAGTGTTCTTGTCTTGAAGAACACATTTTGGTTACAAGACCGCTCATTTGGATGTAGTGTTGTTGTTTTTTTCACCTGCATCTCCCTAGGAAGGTTTCATATTCCATTCCCATCTCCCCCACCCTTGCTCCCGCCACAACTTTTAGAGAGGAGGAGAAACGAGAGGAAGAGGAGGAGGAGAAGAAAAAGAAGAAGAAGAGAGAGTTTGGATCAACTTCTGTTAAAACTTTTCTGGCGTTCAACTCAACATCGAGCCGCGCGAGAGGACGCCGCGGACCCCACATCGCGCGCGCGGCAGGCTACACCATTGCAACTCAGACAGGACAAAATGAAGTTGCTTCTGCTCGTACTTACGACCGCGTTGCTATGGCAACACTGCCAAGCCCAGCAGAGGGGTAAGTCATCAGCGACTGATAGATAATCGATACGCCGATACCCGGCGCTCTCTGCTGGAGTTCTTTACACAGAACCCCCAGAGCTCATTCGGCTGTGGCTGTTTCAGCGTGTCCCTTAATGAACCACTCAGTCAGTAATTAGCTACACCTTTTAACTTCCGGCTATCAGTTCAGTATATTTTGTATCGGTTTAGTTGCGAAGAAGCCTGCCTTTACTGGCTGTAGCTTTACTTTGTTTTCAATAAACAAAAGGGAGGGGAAAGTATGTGAAAATCATTCAAAGCCTATTTAAACACGTTTGTCAATGAGCACAGCCGTCTGCTTTAGCCCTAAGTTAATACTAGCACTTGATGAAAAGATGTTTATGGTGGGATTTATGCCCGCTTTGTCTCTTCAATCTGATATTGAAAAAAAAAAAGAGAAACACAAGTTTAATGGGTCAGAGACTTACTGGTGGATTTCGTATTATTTTTAGCTACATAAATCAAATTAAGTGCTTGACCTTAAACATAATTGACCCTGGCTTAGCTGTACTGTTATGTGTTAGACAGATGTCACTTGGCTTGCTCTTTTGCAGTTACTGCTGCAAAACAGCATACACTGAGTTTATGATGATCCATGTCACTGAGTTTCACAAAATACAGCCTTCCTAGTATAGAGTCCTTCTTTTTCTTTCATAAAGTTTATGTTCCACCTACTGCAACATCATCAGAAACTTATTTATTTATTTTCAATCAAAAGTCACATTTCTTTGGTCTCGTGTCACTGTAAATATAGACAATGTGTATATAGGCAATACTTTGTAGATGCACAACGTGACACATTTACATCTAAGCACACAAATACAAGACCTACGCATCCGTAGCAACGCGTAACATATGTGCACTATTAAAAGTAATGTCTCTTTGGTCAGCGGGCCCGGTGGCGCCAGTGTCCGGCAGCCTCGCCTCTGTCAGTGCGCCCCAGGGTGGCTCTGGCTACAATGTAGCTTGCCATCAACAGTGTGTGAATGTGTGAGTGAATGGGTGGATGACTGGATATGTAAAGCGCTTTGGGGTCCTTAGGGACTAGTAAAGCGCTATATAAATACAGGCCATTTACCATTCTTTTCTTCTTTTTTTCTATTCTGTAACTCACCTCCAGCCCCAGCTTTAAGGGCTCTTAGCAAGTTACAGCATTAGGCAGGGCCGGTTGACCTCACCTGGGAAAACCAGCAGTTTCTAGTTTACTTATTCACACTTCAGGGGCAAAAAATAGTACTGTTTGGTCAAAGCCACTGGGATCTCATAGAAAACATTGACAAAGTCTGGAAAGTAAGGCTAGTAGCACTTTCACCCAGGAGACTGCGGTTTATGTCCTGCTTTTTTCTAATTCTAATTTTCACTTCCTTCAAAAAAATGAATGAATGTACTAAAAAGCCATGCTAGTTTTTATTTCACATATTGATTTTGCAGTATGACTTTAATATTTTGTCAGAAAACCCAATATAACAGAGATTAATTGAATACCATTACAACTTTACGGTTAGAAAAATCATCTCTAAATCTTTTTAAAACATTATGTGTTTGCAGAACCAATACTCTTAATACAGTACTAAAAAATCATTTTTTTGAACATTTTTGGTGATATAAAGATTGTCCTAAATAATAGGAAACTGATGCTAACATTTTTTAAACAAACAAAAAACTAAACAATCTGCATCTGTGGACACCAACTGAAAAAAAATCTAATAGTCTAATAGAAGTAAGAATAAAATTTTTAATTAGAAGTGCCCTGAAATGCACTCGAGAAAGAAATACTGCTCTTTTTTACTTGGTATGTGTGCAAGGCTATGAAAGATTAATTCATTTAATGTGTGTGTGTGTGTGTGTGTGTGTGTGTGTGTGTGTGTGTGTGTGTGTGTGTGTGTGTGTGTGTGTGTGTGTGTTAGGGCCCTGACACAGTCAACAATGAAAAATGAGCAACGAAGCCTTGAGCAGAGATGGGGATTGACAGCTGAGACAAAACCACCAACATAACATGGTGCACAAGAAGAGTCAAAATATTCATGCAAGCAGTGCTTCTAAGAGTTGTTAAGCAAATTATCTCACAGATCCACAAAATGCATTAAAACTGGATTGGAAAAGATGAAATAGTTGCATCCTGTGCAGGGAGCTGATCAGTCAGGTGTTTGAACATGAGTCCGTGCAGAAGTTCTTTGCATGTGCATGTTTTTTTCAGTATGAGGTGATGGTGACTGTTGCTCGAAAGATGAAGCAAATGTATTGCCAGTCATGCTTTTTTCTATTTATCCTCTTCAAACCATCTCCAACTAGTCTGTAAACCTGGAGTGCTCTGGACCTCCCGCAGAGAAGAGGATGGGGACTGCCATCAGGATGTATGTGTTTCTGTATATTGTTTGTGTGCGAGAGATGGAAAAAGAGTGAGCTGAAGAGGGTGGAAGAGGCCATCTGCTTAAGAAGCCTCATTACCAGGCGTGTCAACCAGGCATGCTCTCCATCAGCGACAGAGCTCAGAGAGACACTAGGAGATAATCAGAAAGAGAAGAGAAGGAGGAGGCAAGCTGAAAGAGAGAGGAAGGGGGATCTGTTTAAGAGTTGTTAAGAACTAGAAGAGTGATAGAGAGTGGACTGATGAAACAGGTAGACAGAAGGTTCAGAGGATATAAGACAGAGGATGAGGTTGAAGTATAGATGTTCAGCAAGGAAACCAAACTACATTAGCCACTAAACAACAACAGCTTGATTGGAAAAGAAGATTTTGTCATTCTCCAATATTTATTTTGTGCCTGTGAGAGGGTAGAACTGAGATCATTTTTGTTGATCAGGAAATAATGGGTATTTTTTGGTCATAGTGGAAGTTCAAGTACATTTCCTGGAGAGTCTGGTGCAGAATACACCAGACCTTTCAGCTTCAGTGTGGAACATAAATAATGATTAGTTTTAACTGATGTATTCTCCTGATTTTTGTATCTGAAGAAAAAAATCTTTGCGCAGCTTTGAGGGCATATGAAAGGATTTGTCTGTGCTGTTCTCACTGGTTTGAAGTTGGGAGGGTGAGCTGGAAAATGTGATGCTCTACATTTCTCTTCATCGATAATGAGCTATCAATATTTGAATCTGAGGATTTTTTCTGTTTGTTTGTTTGTTTCTCTTAGTTGCCTCAGCATTGACTTTTGAGTGTTAAACACTTTGGGGTATTTTTCCCCCTTAAACTTGGATTCACTGTTGATTTATTATCTTTGCTTGTTGAAATTTTTTGAGACAACGTGAAATCGGGGTCTCACAGCCACCATTATTTGCTGATATTATATGAAGTGATTGAAATAATGAAAAAAGATCAACAGATTGATGAGAAAACACTGAGGTTTTGGCAAGTGATAATCAGTGAACATTATGTTGAGTACTAATGCCAATACATTGCTATTAGCAAAAACAGTATGCACTGGTCAGCCAAAACATGAAAAATCGGTCTGTGGTTTAAGGCCACAGACCTAGAGACTGGTCGGCGACCTGCTGGAAACCACTCGTTGCTTCTAAAATAATTTATATTCCCTGAGTGGTTGCTGGAGGCTGCTGGCAGTCACTAGGTGAAATTGGCTGCAAAGAGCTATATGGACTTGCACCAAAAACTGCCTTGATTATTAACAGATTGCTGTGGTCGCCTGTAATTTGCATGTAAGACAGTGCGTTGTTTGCAGTTGCCAAATACTCATCAAGTAGCAGTGAAACTGTGAGAATTGCAGCGCAAACTGGAAACGGAGTTTGCCTTCAAAGTAAAAGTGCACCATTCAAAAGGATTGGTTGTACTGGTAAGGTACAACTTTTACTTTGAAGTTTGGGGTGCACGTTTACAAGTTTCGCTGTAGCTCAGTGAGTAGCTGACAAGTGTTTGCAGACAAGTTGGTTGGTTTTCCATGCAAACTTCAGGTGACCATGCCAATCTGCTATTGACCACCAGGAATCACAAGGTTTTTGGTGTCGCACGCTCTTTGCGACCGAATTCACCAGGCAACATGCAACAAATCTCCAGCAAAAACTCACTAACCACTTTGAGAATACTTTTTTTTCTCTAGTTTGCCAGGGTATACTGACAGGTAGGGGTATGTAACTGGGTCCCCTCTTTCCACTAAAACATTAATGTGGTTTTAATATGTGGAAATTTTGTGTTGGTGGATGCTTCTGAATTATTTTGCTCCTGCACATTCCTTGATTTCATATACTCTTATAACTTAGCATGAGTCTTCTTGCAATATAAGTTTTAAACTCTGACTTTCTATCAGATGAGAGCCAGTATGATGCATGGGACTCTGGCACCAAACCAAACAACTGTATTGATAAAAGATAGCAAAATGTCAAGAATATGTGGCTGTCACTGGGGAAAAAAATGTAAAAGTTCTGAGAAGTTGCCAGAAAGTTAACTTGTTGGAGTTATGTGTGTATTAATGTGAGTATTACCAGCCTGATTTGCATGAATAGATGTCAAGTATAGTCACTAGAGACACTAGTGTGGATTGAATCCAGACAAGGCTTGTAAACCAACTGAGAAATCAGCATTTGTATTCAGTGAATTCATGTGACTTACTCATAATCTACTGTCCTGCAGAAACCCCATGCTGCCTCTTAGACAAGATGCAAAAATGTAAGGAAGAGTGAGAAAACTGATTGATTTCCCTGTTGATGTTTATCACACTTTAAGTGTAATTAAAGGTGCAGACTAATCCTGTGATATATTTTCTCCTTGGCAGGATCTATTTCAAAAAATATAACAAGTAGTTAATTTGCTGATAAAAAAAAGTCTCTTCATAGCAACTACAGATGTGTTTATAAGTTTATGGTAATGTGGATTTAACCAAGCTGGGCCAAATGCGATGAGATGTGAACTCACCAGAGGCGCCGCAATGAAGGCGATGTGAATCCAGAATGGGTTTTTCTGCTCATCAGAGAAATCAACATTTTTATGAGGTGAATTCATCCCAACGTTATAACGTTTCTAAAATA